TTGTGCATCAGGTGTTCGAGCAGGGATTGAGTGAGACCATGTGGGATCTCCTATTTGTCGTAGTGGCGCTCTTAGTGATCCCAACTGTGTTCTTCTTAGGCCTCTGCTTGTGGCATGCTGTGTTCGATCGAGCCAGATCCAAAGAGCTGATCGTAGTGAAGGGGGTTCGCAAGTCAAGACCCATTTTGAGCCGATGCAATGCAGCCGTTTGCAAGCAGAAACGCATGCTGCTGTTCGCCATGATCATGTTAGCTCAAGGTACCCAAGCAACAACAGAGGTCTTGACAGATGATGCTGTGGTGCATGCTGTGAGTGCCAGTGCAAGCTTCGTAGCCCGATCACGTGTGTTCGTGTACGTGATGCTGCTGGCTTCGATCGGAGCCATCCTGTGCATGATGCAGCCCTTCGCAGCATCAATGAGGTTGCCACCAAGGTATGATCCAAGTGATCCAAGTCAGACGTTCAGGACGTGGAGTCAAGACTTGATGCTGTGGTCGATCTCAAGTGAACTCCAACCACATCAACAGGCTGCCATGATCATCAGCCAGTTGTCAGGACCTGCAAGGGAACTCGCCAGGTCCATCACGCCACAGGAGTTGTTCCAAGGTGGGGTGCATAATGGTAATCACCTAGATCCAGTCAGCTACTTGGCGCAAGGTCTCGCATCAAGGTTCGCACCGTTGGATGATGAGACCAGACTTCGCGCTGCTCAAGATCTTCTCGCGTTCCAGAGGAGACAAGGTGAAACTGTCGATGCACTCATCACCAGATTCGAGTTGACTCGCAGCCGAGCTCGCAATGATGGCGGTGGAGCTCAAGTGTCGGTTGAGACAGGTTCTCTCCTGTTGTTGAGAGCCTGTGGAGTCACTGCAGAGCAGTTCCAGGCACTAACGCAGCCGTTCGGGTTTCGGCTGCCCAGCAATGACGAGCAGTTCAATGCACTGTGTGCCCACATTCGTAGATTAGGCCACATCATTGAGCGCCAGCCGTTAAACATTGCATCAACACTTCGTCACAATCCCATGAACCAACATGGCCAGCAAAATCCGCACTTTCGTAGGAATGCATACTTCGTAGGCGGTGAAAAAGCATCTTATGCAGGTGACTGGTCACAGGTTGACGGTGGTGACGGAGGAGGTTGGGCCCCATGGGAAACAACTGATGTTCAGGATTGGGCCTTTCATGTTGATCCGCAGTACAGTGCAGGTGCCGATGTGTCCGAGTCCTCAGCAACGTCAAGCGATGGCAATGACCCAGTTGATTTAAGTGACCTTCAAAACTTGACTGATGCCGAGGTTGATCAATACCTGTTGGAAGCATATGCAGGAGCAAAGAAGCGTTGGCGTCGATTCACAGGTAAGCCAGTTCGCCACCTTCGCCGTGTCTTGAAGAGAAAGGGCAAAGGTAAGGGTAAGAAAGGTGCTTATCTCAACATTCCCCAAATCCTTCAAGAGTCTGCATTCTTCAAAGGTAAGGGCAAAGGTGCATACACATCAGGCAAAGGGTTTGGCCGTCGCGGGAATCCGCGTGACCGTAATGGTGTTCAAATGAGATGTTTAGTTTGTGGTTCAACATGGCATTTCCAAGCTAAGTGTCCTCAAAGAAACCCCAATGCAAGTGCATCAGGTGGTGCGCCAGCACCATCCGGTTCGGGCCAAATCAACTCAGGTGCACAACGCCACATGTATGCAGAGCAGCTTCATTTTGCTACATATGAAGTGCCGCCAGACGCACCGACACGTGAAGATGATGATGCTTCATGGTTTCGTGTTTCGTATGGTGCTCGATCTGTAGAGCCGTCGGAACAGCAGACACCAAGTCGTGCCGCGTCTCGTGTTGCAGACGAAGCTGAGGTGCAAGACACTCCAAGGCATCGTGGCGGAGAACCAGAACATGTGCGTTTGACCCCAAATTTCCCAAGCGGTGAAGAAGAAGATCCGTTGTGGGTAAATGATCCTTGGATGTCCTGGCACCACAATTTAAGCCAGAGCTCGCAGGCGCCATTCGAGCAAACACCAGGGATGCATACGCCGTTCGGTTCATCTCAGACATCACCAATGTTCGCAATGCCTGATATGAGATTCAATGTAAGTTCGTCGCATCAGATGCCACAGGTTGCAGCTTCGTCCAATGCCATGCCATCAAGCTTTGTAATGAATGCTGCGCAAAACAATTCATGGAACATGCCATATGCAGTTCCCGGCACAATGCCGAGCATGCCGTTCGTAAGCCAAGTAAACATGAGCATGCCTAGTTCTGCCGCATCAATACCAGAAGTAAGTGCCATTGCAAATGCCACGCAAATGCCAGTAAGTTCTGCCACACGTGAGTCATCCTCACCATCATTCGTGCCCGCATGGTTCATGAACTCAGGTACACAGTCCAGTGCTTATGCATCACAAATTTCAAGTGTGCCTAATCCAGCACAGCAACAGAGCACGACAGACACAGCAGTCAATCAGCTGACCTCCGTGTTCTCAGAGATCCATGCACATTCACGCAGTGTCAGCAGAGGTTCACGCTCAGAGCCTTCGCAGCAAGAGGAAGGCCGTGCAAGAGTGTTCAGCAATACTTGCACCATCTGTTTGACAGCTTTCGAACAAGGAGATGACGTCCTCCGAGTATCATGTGACCATGTGTTTCATGCCCTGTGTTTTTCAGAGTTAATGCAGCACAGCGCAGAAGACGGTGTTCAGTGTCCCAATTGCAGAGCACCATGCACTGCTGTAAGCACATGGCTCTACATGATTCCGATAGCGTCAACAGCCAATGTAGGTACTGCAACAGCCTCAGCCGAAGATCCTGAGCAAGCCAATGCTGTAAACACTCCAGTGCCAACTGAAGATGGTTGGGACAGTGAAGAGGAGCCATTCCATTCTCCACAGCCTTCGCCGCACGAGGACGAAGAAGAAGATGATGGCAGATCCAGACAGAGCTTTGCATGGTGGCCTGTGCCGCGACATCGTTCAGGCCCGCATGCAGGTGAGCCAGTTGCAGAAGCCACATATCACAGCCAAGTTCGTTTGCGCCAAGGCATGGGTCTGCTCATTGACCCTGGTTCGTATGGTAACTTGGTAGGATCTGAGTGGCTAGCAGATGCGCGCGAGATTGTTCACAACCACAGTAAAGAGATCTTGACTCAAAGCAGACGCAATCCAATGCATGTCGGTGGCATAGGTAAGGGACATCAAACATGTATTCGCGACTGCCTAGTACCTTTAGCATTGCGCAGATCCGATGGCACTATGCAGGAAGCAGATTACGCCGCCCCGGTCGTTGAAGAATCAAGTGCGCCCGCGCTTCTCGGCCTGAGAAGCCTCAAGCGACACAATGCAATTTTGGACATGAGTCGTAACATGTTGCATCTCCTGCCAGATGACACCCAAGCTGAATTAGTGTTGCCAACAGGTGCAGAATCATTCCCATTGGAGCAGTCTGAAAGTGGACATCTCCTCCTGCCATTCACAGACTTCGTAGGTCTACGCCAGTCCAGATTCGAGCGACCAAATCCACGTCTGGTGCATCTCTTTGCAGATGATGCGAATGCAGAGAGTATGGCAGCAGTACAGATAGAAACCAGAAGCAAAGCAGTTGCGCCTTCAGCAAAGGAAGGCAGTTCGAGTCCAGCAAAAGCAAAAGCAAGTGAGCCCAATGCGCCCGCTGCAGCATCCGCAGCATCAAGCGCATCCACAGTACCTCGAGTGGTTATTCCTCAGATCACACCTAAAGGTGAGCCAAGGCCTGCAAAGCCTGCAGCATCTGCAGGCCCGAAAGCGACACCTCGAGGCAGTGTAGGAACAGCCATCGCAGCAGGTCCAAAACCTCCTGCACATCCCCGTGAAACTGGGGACCAGGATGAGGAGTGAAGAGGCGAGAGCGATGAAGCCTCCGATTCGCTCGGGTACCATGCAAAGGAGGCAAACATAAGTTGCTGCTTAGTTGTGTCCAACCATAGCAGCAGTTCCCGTGCATGTGAGCATTTTGGTCTTTCAGTCACAAGATACCGTCCAATTGAATTGACCAGAGCGCTTGAATTCGATAGGATACTTGAAGACTTAAAGGTTCTCAGGTATAGAGTTGTATGGGTAGATCTTCAGCAACCAACAGCTTTTGGAGGCAAGCAAAGATACGGTAACATACTTCAAAGGCTTCGTACAGTGCTGATGACTGCCATCCGCAACGACGTGCCGGTCATCATGGCGTCAAACCGACTGGACGCCTGGCATCAACCTCAGCTTGAAGACCTCACAAGGCAATGTTCCCTCACGCTGTCGAAACATCGCTGGTGTTCCCTGGACATCACAGTGAACAGCAGAGGGCACCCAAGTTCAGTAATGCATCGAGTAGCTAGCAAGCCAGCTTTTCGAGATACTCCATGCCGATGTGAGCCAACGGCAGAGCATGTCAATGACTTAGCAGAAAGGTCATGCACAGCCCAAAGCCGTAGTGACGCAGAAGAACTTTTCGTCCAAAAAATGTTGACAAGAGCCACCTTGCTGCCAGCTGGTAGACCTGCGGCTGCAGCGAGGTCAAAGAGTCAAACCGACGGAAGTGTACATATGAAACAACACGTAGAACAACAGAATCGCGCTGAAGATGCCTATCAGGTGACCGTGCCTGAATTCGTAGATCCTGTGCATGTTGAGACTGCCCATGAAACACGCACCGCACTCTTAGACCATGATGTTCACAGCAAGAAGTGTCCATGTTGCGACTTAAGCATGCCAGTTGAACTGTTCTTTTGTCAGCAGTGTGACACTCAGTTGCCAGATGTCGCCACCATGTCCAGCAGCTCGTTTCCAACAGAAGAAAGATTAGCAGCTGCAGAACGGAAACGCTTGGGCCATAAACCCAAGAAACGAAAACAGGAAGTTGAAGACCATCATGACGACTGTGGCGATGATGTATCCATTCTTGAAAAGACTCTGAAGAAGGAATCCTTCTATGAAGGGTACTCATCCGATGATTCAGAAACTGAGCCACCATCTGGTCTGCCCAGCATGTTGTCATGTTGGCATGTGCGTGGTAGTGCTTGTAATGATCCGCCAGAGTATACGCCCAACATGTTCCTTGCATGTGATGTTGAAGAGATGCTTGACATCCTTGCTACCAAGGCCCCGCTGAATTGGCCTTGGGGAGTTGAACTTGTTGAGATTTGTGGAGGCCAAGGGTTGACAAGTCATATCCTTGTGAAACGGCGTCTCAGAAGCGGTCACAACTTTGAGTTGCTAACAGGCACAGACCTTCGCCAACGACGCAACCAGTTGAAAGTGCTCGAGTATCTAAAGTTAAGCAAACCTCTTGTAGTACTAATGGCCCCGATTTGTCGTCCGTTCTCCCCGCTTGGCAGGTTGAACCGTGTGCTGAATCAAGATGCTTGGTTTGAGTCTTTGCACGACGCAGCACCAATTGCTGAGTTTTGTGGAGAAGTTGCCATGTACCAGATGAGGCAACAACGGCATTTCGCAGTGGAACAGCCCAAAGGTTCCACACTGTTCGACATGACACCATGGCCAGAAGTCCTTGAGGATCCAAGAGTAGTAAGCATAGTTTTCGATCAATGCCAAGTAGGCCTTAAGACACCATACGGTCCAGCAAAGAAACCAACAGAATTGATCGCAAGTTCCGAAGAACTTCTTAAGCCTTTCGTTGGTAAAGTATGTCAAGGCACCCATGTCCATGTGCCACTCACAGGCCAAGCAGCAAGCCGTGCGCAAGTTTGGCCATATGAAATGTGTTCTCGACTAGCTCATGGGATTGAGAGACTAGTAGTGTCAGAGCTCAAAACCATCCGTGAAGATAGCATAGAGCCAGCTTTCCCAGCAGTAGCGGCCGGGACTGACGAAGGACCACCAGCCGAAGCCGAAGAAGATCCTGATCTTAAGTGGCGTAAATGTAAGGGTTGTCTTTGGCGCCTACAGAAACAAGATCCAAGGCATACACGCGTGCCAGGGGAATGCAAACATCCACATGTCAAATCCGTGGTGTATGAATGTGAAGGCTGCAAAGCAGGCCGTCCCAGATCACACGATTCGCACACCTTTGATGAGAAGTGTCGACATAGCCTGACCAGTTCACGCACCGGTGTTCGTAAAAGACCCTACGCAAGAGTGCCTGCAGAAGAAGAGCCAACAGGTGGTTTAAAAGCTTCAGACTTAGGTCGTGCAGATGAGACAAGAGCTGAAGACATGCCAGACTTTGAACCACCGGCTCCACCGCGTGAACCAGAATCACCAATAGCCGATCCAGCAGCGTCCGGCAGCGCGCCCGCAGGTGAGATTGTGCCACATGAAGAGGGCCAAGACCTACAAGTAGCTCGGAGAGGCCGTGGACCTGATGTGGAACAACGCGTCAGGCGAACCTTCAAAGAAGGTGAAGCCCAAACTCCAAACGCCTCTGATTGGTCCACCTTTGATGTGAGCACATCACTACGCGGCTTAAAATTTGCCGATGAAGCAGGACAGCGTCGCATTTTGCGCAAGCTGCACATTCGTTGGTGGCATAGCAGTGCAGGAAGAATGAAAAGTATGCTCCAACGAGTTGGCATTCCGCCAGAAGTATTGTCTCGTGTTGATGGCATTGTTGACACATGCCGCATTTGCCGCCAATGGACACGTCCTATTGCAGATTCTGTTACCAGCAACCGCATCGTAACAGGTTTCAACATAGAGGTTGAAGGTGACTTAATCTTTTATAAGCACGGACGCAATCAACACATTATCCTTCATCTAGTAGATCGAGGCACACGCTGGGCATCAGCGTGTGAAATCAAAGATAAAAGCACAGCGGCCATCCTTCAAGGCCTCGACCTGTGGTTGTCGACGTTCGGGCCACCACAAGTGCTGATCTTTGACGGAGAAAAAGGGCTAGATGATGAAGAATCCAATATGTACTTTGAGATCAAAGGCATAACAAAGCGTACAGCTGCCCCTGCGCAACATACAAGAATAGTCGATCGCCGCGCACAAGTTCTTCGCGATTGCACGCACAAAATATTCTCTCAATTAGGTGAAGAAGGCATCGCAGCGCCGTTAAGCCGAGTGCTATCAGAAGCTGTTTATGCAACCAACGCATTGACCACAGTGAATGGTCATTCGCCATTCGCCATTTACAGCAGTTCTTGGGCGTGTTCCGCCACTGTTACCAGATGCCGTGATTGTTGCAGATGACACTGAGGGAGCGCCGTCGTCAGCGCACACTCACAGACTTCGTGAAATTGCCCTGCAATCAATCATAGAAGGAACAGCTCAAGACAGAATCAAAAGAGCACTTAAGACGCCCACTCGCATGGCAGGTGAAGAATTGGCACTAGATGTAGGCGACCCAGTAGAGTATTACCGTCCACCAGAACACAAAGATGCATCCGGATGGAGAGGACCCGCAACTGTCATTGACCTTACCCGGATAGAGCATGGACGGATTGGTGTTCGCACTCGTGCCGATCAAATAATTTCATGCCGAGTTCAAGATGTGCGTCGGTGCCTTGCCTATCTAGCACATGAAAGGGCTGAACTAAGGTCCCCAAATGATAGTGCGCAAGACCTTATAAATGATGCAGTGCAACGCATGAAAGAAGGAACTGTGTGCAACATGATGCATGTTCGAAAAGATGACGGAACCATGACTGAATCACCAGGCCTTAAATCACATAAAGAGTTGTATGCAGCCGCAATGCATGTAGCCACAACAGTGTTCCAGCTGCCCGATGTCACAGCAGTTCGGTGTGGTAGGGGCATCAGAAACCTTGCACACTATCAAGGTTGCACAGGTTCGTTAGTGGTGTATTGGTTAGATGCAGGAACTAAAGCATTGCAGTTCAGCAATCACGAAAGTGCCAGGATTTCGTTTGTAGATCTTGTAGGCCATCGATGGAAAGATTGCCATTTTGTGCAGTACATCCAAACTGTGTCACAAGAAGATTGGCATCTCAGAAGTCATGAATCGTTGAATGCAACTCAAGCCAACCAGATAGCCTCAGACGTAGAAGTTGAAATTCGAAGCCAGACTGGTCACACGCCGAGTGCCAGAAGTCGTCTGAGCACCATTCCAGAAGGCAGCCACGAAGATGCCGAAAGTTCGTATATAACCATAAGTCAAGAAAGCCTTGATGAAATGTTCGGTATAACTTCAGCTTGCAAAACAGAAGAAGAACTTGAGGAGGCATTCGTAGCACTCCAAATGCACCAAGATGAAAACACAAATCCACCAATGGTACAACAGCTGCAATCCAATGCTATCAGCCTCCGGGAAGCAGCGAGTCTCGTAGAAGCAGAACTGCCGTCTTGGACACAAGTGTCAGCAAACTCAGAGCCGGTATACATGACCACTGAACGGCTCACTGATAGCATTAAATTCGCTGACCATAATGCAGCATTAGACCCTGATAGCGATGAAGTAGGCCCCTACGTAGCCCTAGAAGCATATGGCCATATGGCTAAGGTGGTAGATGGCCTGCCACGAGAACCACAGCAAGGTGAACATGCTGAGATAAGATTTTATCAAGCTCACACGAGAAAGGCCGTCATCGACCGCAACGATGACTTGCTCACTGACCAAGAGATCCGTGAAAATGCGGAACTGGTGACGCAAGCGATCCTTGATGAACTAAAGACTTGGCAAAGCTTTGGATGCTTTGAAAGACAGCCCAGAGCTGAAGCGACAAACTTGATAGACTCTAAGTGGGTACTCAAGTGGAAGTTCAAGGGCGATCAAAGGATCATTCGTGCACGCCTGTGTCTTAGAGGTTTCAAGGAACATCAGGCCGATGACCAAAATAACTCGTCGCCGACAGCGACCAGGCTGTCGCAACGCTTGATGGTGTCGGAGGCCGCTCTCCGACCACATTGGACTTTAGCGTCTTGCGATG